GGCCAGGCCCGGCCCCCCCCCCCCCCCCCGCCCCCGATGGTTAGAGCCATCGTTGTGAGTTGGTGCTGCAGATGGCTGCCTCGGTTTCTGTACCGGAAACAAATTCCTTGTGTGTGCAACATACTTGGCCAAATAAAGGTGATTATTCTTGTCGTCTTGGGTGTGTAGCACAGCACACATAATACAAATACCTGTTTGTTTTAATCTTGCCAGCTGCTTCGTGTCCTTCAGGAGGCTGTTTTCACTATAGTACACACTACAGCATATAGCAGCTTGGAGGCAACCAGTCCTTGGACAGGTATGGTGTCCTGAGTTCCTCCTCCTCACTGTAACCAGCATCAAGGCATCTTCTCTGGACACCATTTTCCTCCTGTGCGTGGATTCCACACATATAGTAGATGATAGGACACCACAGGAAGGACTGCTAAACCACAAATGTCACCACAGTGACGTCAGCCAGTGATGAAGATCCCTGTCTGGCCTTTTGTTTGTGTGGACAAGCACTTCCTTTCTCAGCCCTGTAAATCAGAATGCCGGGTAAAGTAATATGATTGTTTTCAGCATCTCAAAAGTATATGCTGCATGATGATTCATCACCTGCCTCTGTGCACATAACATTTTCTCTTTTATCCTCATCCTGATGGAAAAGGATGTGTCTGTGGTGACACATTGTATGTGAATTGTTTGATCCAGGATGCCCTGCTCAGGACTTCATCTCCTCTACCCTGCTCAAATGCCTGCCCAGGCTTGGGAGCAGGAGCAAGATTACTGAAGGTGCCCAGGAACCGATACAGGTGAGTGCTGTCTTGACAACTTGTTAATAATAGCCCTCTAAGGAGTCATGGAAATATCTACCAGACGACCATGGCATCCATTTAGACACCCTGGCCTTTGTGGCTTAAGAAGAACAATATTGGTCTTTGTCTTGCTTAGTTTGATAATCACTCTCCCCATATTATTCTGGGCACGAGCTCAGATATCAAACAATATGGTGAACATGACAACTATCTCAACAGTCTCCAGGCTTTTGATTCGCAACCCACGTACCGTGGCCTCTCGCAATGAAGACTAAAAATAAAAATCACCCTAACAGTTAGTATTGCTGGCAGTATTTGCAAATTGATTGTGTGAGTTTCCTTTCCACCTGTGTCATTTCTTGAAATGGGAAAACTGGAATGCTGCCACACAACAGCTCTAAAAGTTGACAATGGAGCATCTGCTATGTTGGTTTCAAATAATGCAAATTGAACACAGTACTAGCAAAATAATATCGTGGTACATAAATCACAGTTTCTGTTTTAGTTGAACACTTTATAACTGGAAAAATGTAGCTAAGCCTTAAAAGTGGTACAATTCCTTACAAAATAAAGAAAAAACCTAATTAAATGCTGTAAACTTTTGTTTCAGTGCAGTCAAAGTAACTGCACAAAATGCAGCAACAGAGAAGCTGTGGCTTTAAAGTCTTTAACACAGAGGAACTATAAAGCCTGGATGTGTTTACAGATTATCTTGAATGAAGCCAAACAGTCTGCCTGGCAAATGCAGCCATTCTGCTCGCTGCTTTCATCTACAGGAAGAGACACAACTGCTGTCTGTCAGCGGAAGCAGAATATTAATCATCGTTACTAGAGCTAAAACAGCAGAGCATAGCACAATGTAAGCGGTATAAACTAAACAATCTGGTTCACTGTTATTTGTACAGTCTGCTGCTGAGTCCTCATGCTTATATACTGGCCACACTGTTCATGTGCTTAGATGTACCATGTGGATTCCATCTGCATTCTAATCAACCCCTGATCTTAACCAAGTCTAAACTGAAAACGTGGCTGTTTCCTGTACCTGGTTGATCGGTGTTGCATTCTGGGAAACCTATATAACTTATTAGTGAGCTGTAACTGCTCGCTGATGCTTTGTTTTATTTATTATTCTTTTGATTTTATGTAGTTTAATGTTTTATCTTCATTTTGTCCTAACTGATTTTATTCTAGTTTTAATGCTGCTAATGATTGTCTTTGCCTATAAAGCACTTTGAATGGCCTCCATCTATAAAATATGCTATACAAATTAAAGCTGAGGCATGGTGGAGCACTGGTTACCCATGCTTTTGTAATGGTAAATGGCCTTATATTTGTATAGCTCAAAGCACTTTCACACTATTTGGCCATTCACCCATTTGCACTTCCAAGCACTTACACATTCACGAACCAGTGTCATCACCGGGAGCAACTCAGGGTTCAGTGTTTTGCTCAAGGACACTTCAACACATGGACTGGACAGGCTGGGGCTCAAACCATTTGGAGACTACCCACTCTACCTCCTGAGGAGTTTCCCCATTTTTTTTTACACTCAATTACATGTCAGAGTAAAGTTCACAACCTGAAAACCTGTTGTGTAATGAGGCTGTCATACTGTATGTAATTACTTTGCTACGTGTTGCATCCCACAACAATCTCATTAGGCAATAATACAAAAGGATTCAAGTAGCTTGGCAGTGACTTATGGTTTGATTTGAAAACCTCTCTGTATTATCACCGCTGCTCCCTTTGTCTACACATAAATTCCACAGCTGAAAGGCAAAGACATACTCAAGCTTCTAGTCAGTGTTCTTTTTAGACAACTTGAAGCTCAGTAAAAATGAAATTACAGCATTTATTCACAAAAGAACTCTGCACACAGTGAACATTTCAAACCAGAGAGAAGTAAGACTGTTAACTTAAAACAGGGTTATCTAAGAAGCCACAATGAAATTGACAGAGTACCATGTCCTTACTTTGATGTTTGACTGTTGAATGGGATATTGAAAACACACTTAAAAAACTTTCTAAGTACTTTCTCCATATAAAGCACACTCTGTTGGAGTCAGATTCATCATCTGCTTCGGTGTCCCGTGGCACACCTTCACACCCTCCAGTCCACCGGCTCGACCACCCTTTGTCATAGGGTTCTGTTTTCCTGCAGGCACAGTGCCAGCTCTAGGGCTTTTCATTTTCATCCAGTTTTCCTAACACACAGGTTTATTTTATTATTATTATTATTTGTATCTGTGCTTGTTTGGTAATTTCCTGGCACCAAACAAAACTCGTTTGAGCTGATGTGGTAGGCTCGGCCTGTAGGCTGGGTTTAAGCTGATTAGGCAGTGCAGTGCAAGCTCATTTTGGAGAGAAACTGCATGTAAAGCTGAAAAAATCTTCTGAACATTGGACTAGAAACATTTACTCACAGATTCCAAGTTTAACAGTAAACTCATTAATCATTCATGAACCCAGCTGTCCTCAGGATGAGTCTTCAGCTCCATCGGATCATTCAGGAGGATAAGATGGGAGGGTAGAGAAAAAATAAACAACAGTTCAAACTCTCAAAATGCAGAGTAAACCTTTTACTACTGCCTCATGCACAATGCAGCATGTAAGTTAAGAAATCGACAAATCAGCTGTAACTAAACTATGACTGGACAATCGGCATTCAGGGGAAGGGTTTACTGACTGGTCAACTGATATAACACATTTTTACAAATGAAATGTCCTTGCTAAATGAGATATTTACAAAATAAAGAGTTGTGGTATATTTTGACAAAGCAACTAACCATGTGACATTTCTGGTTGTATTTGTGATGATCTCTTATCATCCCCTTCTGACTTCCCCTGCAGTTGTTTCAGCCAAAGGATGGCGATACCGGGCAACATGGGAGAGGAAGGGATGGATTTGGAGGGATCAGCCACAACAGTCCTCATAAACATCAGCCTATATGGCACGACCAATAGCACCGCCAATGGAACCAACATTACCTTTTTTCCCTACTATCAGCACTCTGTGTATGTGGCAGCCAGCTATATCGTGGCCTATTTCTTCATCTTCCTGCTTTGTATGGTGGGAAATATCCTGGTATGTCTGATCGTACTGGAAAACCGTCGCATGCGCACTGTCACTAACCTCTTCATCTTCAATTTGGCTATCAGTGATCTACTGGTGGGCATCTTCTGCATCCCTACAACACTAGTGGACAACCTCATCACAGGTATATACCCTCTCACCTCTCTTGTATCTCCTTACTGTGACCAGTGTGTTGCAGACAAAAACAGATCAATTTAGCATGATCATAAAGTCTCACAGTTAGCTAATAGGTACTAACCAAATTTTGAAAGTTGCCCATCCTATGTAGCAAAACTAGTCCAGCCCGCTACTCTCTGTTCACTGTACTGTTTACTGTACTTAACTAAAGAGAGTCACTGACTCCAGTCCTCAGGATATTAGTATTAAGTGTCCTTTGCTGAAATAGTAGCAGCTGGACAATCCATCATTTTCATTAAGTGGACAGTTTGTCTTTGTGACTGTCTCAGCTGGTGCCAGCCATGCCATTCATTCAATGACTGGTGCCTGGCCTATGGAGTACATACAAGGTCTCACACAAAGCTAAAAGGTAACATCTTTACTGTACCTTCTCTGTTGCTGCCATTGCCCTGATTTGTTGTGAAGTATTTTAGGAGGTCCACATCAACTGCAGCGTAAAGTGTGCAGGCTGTGTAGCTACACTGTAACTGTAACAAATAATTTACATTGGTGTGACACGTGTCTCCCTGCCTCACCCCACAGATAACAGCACAATCACACCAACTCCTGTCATTCACATAAAGTACTCACACACATACGTCCTGTGTTTCCACCTTTTTCTATATTCAGCACTGAAGCACATCATGGCTTGTCACCCAGTTACAAGAGTCACTCAGTTAGCCCCCTGGCTGACAATTAGGTCATCAGTCTTTCCTGACTTCTTTGTTTTTCCATCTGGTGATCCCATACATCTGCTTTACCTCCCTACCATCCATGCACACATTATACCCATGCATTATCAAACTATTGATATTGTTTCCTGTTTTTGTTGTCATCCTGTTGGTTCCTCAGTTTTCCTCCTCAGAGGCCTACTTCCATCGTCCTCCCCCTCCTCCGGCTGCTAACGCCCAGCTGCACCCATCTCTGTCCCAGCTGCAATCCATTATCTGGTATCACTCACCATTTATAAACTGACCATCTGCCACGTGTCTGTTTGTCAGATTGTTTTCATCTTTGCCCCACCTTGCCCCGTGCATTCTGCCCAGAGTCTGAGCCTGTTGTGGGTTTGCTGTGTTACCTGCCTGTATTCTTACCTATTCCCTGTGTTTGTGAGTTCTAGCCTTGTGCTTACCTGTTTTTTTGAGAGACCTAAAGAGGAGCTCTGTTCTGAAGAATTACCAGTTTTCTGAGAAACCTGTGGAAAGGAATTCTGTTTTGAAACTCGCCTGCTTTTTTAGAGAAACCTCTGAAAAAAAATTAAGCTTGGAAACTTGCCTTTTATCACTGTTGACTACTGCACATACAGCTCCCATGTAGTATATATTGTCTTATTATATTCTTATATATTATTACTATATCTCTTCATTTGCTGCTTAAAGTGCCTTAGATTTTGTGTTACTTATTCATCTACTTTATGTTTCATTTGCATTGTGTGGCATTCATGTAGACGGCAAAGTAAGAAATTCATTGCACAGGGAAACACATTTCCTAACTGTACATATGACAAAAAACACTTTGAATTTGACTTGACTGAGAAACCTGTGAAGAGAAGTTAGTTTGAAACTTACCTGTTTTCTGAGAGAAATACCATGACACTTACCTGCCCCTTTGTGCTTTCCCATGAAGTGCCTTGGCTCTTGTACCTGATTGGTTTTCTTCATATGCATGTGCTGTGATGTCCTGTGTTGGTTTTTATGATAGAATTGCACTGACATGTTAAAAAATGACACCCGGTAACTAATAATCTGGAGAAACGCAAATGCAAACAATGAGACCAGTGACATCCGGTTTGACGGTGGAGGGAGATTTGGCAGCATGGGGAAGAGGACTGATGGAGAGAAATAGATCAGGAGAAATTTACCCACTGAGGAACAAACAGAATGTGAGGAAGATCGTCCTCATTGAACTGCTGCCTAAGCTTCATAAGACGTAAAAGGAAACATGCAGGACCGATTTTCTTCAATGAAGAACAAAAAGAAATAATGATACAAAGTACAAAACTACATTTATATTTGCTGAATGTTTTCTCCAAATAAGATTTTTGGAAATACAACCACAAACCATGGTGAAAACCAAGTAAAAAGTAAAGTCATGGTATCTAAAAAGATAATAGCAATAGATGTCAGTCACTTAACTATGCTCAATAAAAGACAAACTAAAATCTATTAAATATTTTAGGGTTTCTGTTCCATATCTCAGTGCTGTCAATTACATCCACAGCAGTTGTAATAGTCTCACTTAGAAATTATGGAAAATGTTTTTGTTTGTGTTACACTCAGCCTTAATGAGTGCAGTGATGCTATCAGTCATGTAATCATACTGATTATAGAGTTAATAGTTGTGTACCCCTTGTCTCCAAGAAACAGCTTCCTCTTCATTAGAGACCAAATTAAGAACGTGAGAGAATGTGTGAGCAGAAGAGCAGTGTCTGCACTAAATGCTTTACAAACCATTTTGTGTATATGATAGTTGAAAAGGAGAGAACCAGAGATAATTAAAATGAAATGTGTTTATAGAGGTCTGAGCACTGCAGAAATACATTTAAATTCATTAACACATAATTAAATGAGATCGGGTTTTTTCTTTATTTGTCTGTGAAGTTGTCAGAGAGTTGCCTACTGGATTTTTTAACTAGCTGCTTATTAAAGCACAGCATCTCTTCTATTTCTACAGGTTTTAAAACGAAGAAGGTGATTGTTGTTATGGTTGGGAGGCATCTTCAATGAAACAGAGCAATAGATTTGTTGTAATTAGTAAAAATGATTTAGTTATTTCTAATGGGCTTGGCTGAACAGTGGCAGAATGTGCTAGTGGCATCCTATGGTTTTTTTTTAGACTGATCTACCCCCAATATTCCTAATATTCTGACCCTCTCATATATTAAGCAGGGGAGGACAAAAAATATAGAGATATCTGAATATAATGTAGTTCAGTACAACACCACCTTTAACTATGACCTCAGTACTAAACATAGCACTGAATTTATACATTTATGACATTTGACAAAAAGGAAAATGAAAAATATTAAGTTGGCAAAGGAATGTTAATGCTTAGCTGGTGAACATTAGTGGCCCATTTCATAGCCGTTTATCAGTTGTTATCAGGCCCACGGTCATCTTGCTCTCATGGCTACAGTAATAAAGTATATAGTACTGTAGGCACAAAATGATCATAGGTTTAAGAAAATATTATGTTTGGGGCTTAAATGACTACTTATTAAAATAGCATTTACCTGGGGACATCATTCATAAATACAAAATACACTATTTTTATGCAGATGACGCCCAGCTGTACATACCCATAACAGCGAGTTACACCAGTGATCTAAGTAACTTTATACTGTAAACTGCTTCAGTGAGATTAGGTATCACATGTCTGGCAATTTCTTCCAGCGTAATGAAACTAAGTCTTAATCATCCTGCCGCACTATATTCAGTCCATCCATAACAACCTATGCAGTCCATCAGCATATGTCAAACCTGTTGCCAAAATCTAGGAGTGACCCTGACCTTAGTTTTGAGCCACAGCGGCAAGCAGTGAGGTTTATTTACAGTGAAGGTAGTGACATATATACAGGAGGAGTAATGAGGTAGATGACGGATGTCGATCAGCAGCAGCAGAAAAACAGTCAGTGGTATGGTGGATGATGATGTACCGGGCTGTGGACACAGAGGTCACTCCTGGGCTGGTCGAGGTGGAGGTGATGATGGCTGTAGACAGAAGAGCAGGGATAAACTGGGTAAGGGAGACTGTGCATCGACCTGGGAGGCGGTGGCTGGTGGTGTAGATTAAATCCAGGGGGGTCCAGAGGAGAGGTCCGAAGAGGAAGAAGACACTAGAGACGGCAGGGCAGGATAACGACTAGGGTGCTAACAAGGACTAGAGAGAACAAAGACAATCTTAGCATAAACTTGATAAAACAAAACAACCACTGGCCTGAAGACAGAGAAAGAACTGGCAGGGGAGTGACTGGTGAACAGTGTACAAGTATGGAGGAGACTAATGAGGTGCAGCTGGTGAGTAATCAGGGAAGCGGGGCAGGTGTGTTGAATAGTGTAATCAATGCAAGGGCTAGGCTAGTGTGAGGAAGAAGAAGAGAGGAAGGTGGAGCTGGGCAAACCTGACACTGCTCAGTTGATCATTCACCATCACATCCACTAATCTGATCAAAAGCCCCTACTTAGCTACCCCTCTGAATGAATTATGATCCATGTCTTATCAACTAAAGTAGTGAAACGTGATCGAGATGAATTTATGTGTGACAATGCAGATACAGTAATTCTACAGTTTCATCAGGTGGGCACCTGCCAAAAAGTTTAAATATAATCTTCATTGTAATCTTAAGAAACATTTTTGCTCTCCAGGTACACACAGCAGGTCAGGGCAATCAGCAGAGCAGTCGTTGTGCTCAAAATGCACATTGTGGGCAGAGTCTCTAGAGCACTGAGTTACTATAGCAACACTAAAACAATGCACATACTATCTCGCTCATCCCAGTTTAGTTTAGTTTGCTTTTAGTTTATTTGGCCCAAAGCAAACAGAACAAAATCTAATTATCATAGTACATACACCTTATTGAGAAAAAAGGTGTAGGCAGATGCTATTGTTTATTTTACCTAGTCTTACAACAGTACTCAAACATCACAACTTACATATTTTAAATATGATGAGTCAAAAAAGAATGAAAGAAAAAGGATAACACAAACTATATACAACATATTCTCACAAATTTACATTCACATTAAAATTCTGTTTTCTTTCTTTTATCAATCTTTTAATTTTACTAAATGTGTCACACCTCTTCAGATCATCACAAAGTTTATTCCACAGCTTTCTTCCAGCAACTGAAAGACATCTGTTATTAACTTTTTGTTTTTAAACATACTGCTCTCATATTTTATTTTCTCATCTTGAACATCCTTTGGATATTTCTTTTTATTAAATGTTGACAGTCTTATACATGATCTGTAATATTCTAAATTATCTATTGGTTGGTGTTCAGTAATATACCTTACAGTATTTATTGTTTTTATAGCTTTCTTTTATAAAATAAATTTAGAGTTGTATGTTTGGTTAAACCTAACAAAGGTGGTTTTACCTCCAAGATACGGCACAAGTCTGAGCAAAATGTGGTAAGTGTAATGCGTTCTGTATTAACTGGGGAAGATGGCCATAAGAAGTAAAACAGTTCTGCTCATCATCATTTTCAAAACATCTGCAGTGTTCCAGTAGAGAACATAAAGCCAGTGTTGGCTGCCTGCAGGGTGCCTGTAAGGAATCGGTCTCAAACAGATGAGCAGCAACAGCTGTGAAGAGCTTAACAGCCAGGATGTTAACCAGCAGAACTAATCTGAACAAAGAAGCACACAGTTTAGTTGCTGTAGTGTCTCATTTTACTGACCTTTGACCTTTTTAGCTCGAGGCCTGTGTATGCAGTATGCCTAATTAATTGCTACATTAATATGTAATGTCTTAAACTGTTTTAATCATATTCATTATATGAAATACAACCTGGTTAATTATATCCCTTTATGATTCAAACAGTACCCAAATTACTGGTCATCTGAACAAGATTAGTTTTGACACCGCCATATTAAACAGTGTCATTTCTTTTTTGAGCTGCAGGTATGCTGTATGGCACTGGTAATTATGGCTGTCTTGACCAGCTTTTATTTTAATTCTATTTTGTTTTTTCTTTAAACAATATTGTTGTCATCTTTGTCACACACAACTCTGCTTGGAACTGTTAGCAAGAAAACAATACATTATCACCACACCTGAGGCACTGTATGTAGAATTATGCTTTTAGCAGAATGAAGTTGACTGACTATGCTTATATTCATTAGGATATCCTGAGCAGACATGTGGCTGTGAGGAAGGAGACGTGTTTTTCTTGCAGCCTATTGTGTTGTATCTAATTCAGTCATGCTGTGTATTTCTTAATGCAGGTCTGACTCAATTGGCCCTATTTTGAGGATCCACAGCGTCTGATCAAGATGTATTAGCGCAAATGATGTTTGGGTGTGTCCATGTTCATTTCAGTAATTTGACAGTGAGGAAAAGCAGTTCAAGCACCAGTGCAAGCAGTAAAAGGGTTGTACTTGATTTCCTCATTAAACCAGAGGTGTGTAACCTCACATCCTCTTTAAGAGAAATATGAGTTTGAACGTTTGGCGGATTGCTAGCATATTAGCGGACTTGCCAGGTTGGACGTCACTAAGATTTTCCACTTATGAGACGGATCTGCTCATGCGCAAAGTAAAGGCACATCAAATTGAATATTTGACATCCATATTTATTATAAATACATATATATTGATGTGCACAACACCCAGTGGACACAAGGTCATCTTTTTATTTAAGTCTTGCATGTGCTGCACGTCCCACGATATAAAATACACAGTGCATGAGCATTGTGTATTTTCTGATGAATATTTGTCCAATAAAGCTGCAGCCTGTTAAAAAGTGCTATCAGACACTGAAGAATGATGCTGTAGACTGAGCAGACATTCACTGGCATTGACATTATACAGACTCTCACTTGTTGGTTACTACAGAAGCAGATTCAACAGAATGACACAGTGGAGTGACTTCACTAACAGCACAGTGTTATGGTTGCTCACAGAAGTGAGTAGATAAACTGGACTCAGGAGTCAGCACTCTCGGTTCAAGGTAAGGGATTTATTAGAATCGCTGCTGGTGAGGCAGGATAGTTCAGACTTTCGGGGTTGGCAAGAAGCAGTGAGTGAGAACTTGTCCGTTCACAGGAGGCGTAGAGCAGGCGATGAGTAGCAGCGATGAGAGGAGAAGGATGTGGCAGGTTGCAGTCTCACGTCTTAACAGCAGGACGGGTAAGAGCAGTGTGGTGTAGCTTGGAAGTGGTGGTCTGAGGCAGCAGGTTCTGATAACAGGGAGGACAGGACAGAATGAGTGAAGCCAAAGGATGACAATCTGACTGATCTGAGAGTTGAGGAGCAGTATGCCGGTCCTGGGAGACAAGGAGGATGTAACAGGTGAATAGAGGAGACTCAGAGACGGGTGGTCAGAGATCTTTGTAGACGCAGAATGGGTTCCAGTAATAGGAGCCAAAGTGTTGTGGCATAAGTCTGCAATGAACTGGCACTGTAGAAGCCTCAGCCCAGCCCTTAAGTAAGGTGTATGCCAAGCCCAAGACAGATTACCTGCGAAAAGGAGAGGAAGAGAGGGACAGGTGGAACAGAGCAAGCCTGACACACAGGTCAGCACTTTGATGAATGATTTCAAGCTTGCCCAAAGCGTCTACTGTACCATCACAGTGGTGGACCAAATACAGTGGCAAGAGAATGTACGGGAACCCTCTGGAATGACCTGGTTTTCTGCATTAATATGAATGAAATGGGTGGCATTTGGTGCAAAAGTTTGAGTTTGATCAGTGTTGTAGTTACTGTATGTGTATAGTGCTTTGTTTTGCAGGGTGTGTGAAGTGTTTTGCATTTTGGGTGTATGATTCTACGAACTGTGTTAAGTATTTTGAGACAATGGGTCCTGTTGCCAAAACTGTTAACAAGTGAAAGAAAAAAAAACTATTATACACGACTGGTATTTCAGGTTTTCTTTTCATGGCTGTTCATAGTGGAAATATGAAGGTACTGTATTATTTGGTAGGTGATGTTTGCCTGTTGTGCTGTGGTTTTTCATCATCTTGAGGTCAGTGTTCATTGATTTGAAATTTTCTCACTGAGCTGCTACAATCCCATCAGGCTCCTTTCAAGCAATTTCCCGTTCCTTATTGAACATGAATGGGAGAGAAGGTACTCACCTTGTCAGGTGTCTTTGCAGCCTCCATTTCTGTTGTGACAGGGAAGATGAAACAGTAATCATGTGGAAAAGAAAAGGTGGTGTGAGGTTTCATGTCCTAACCCACTAAACACAGAGACGTGCCAAGGACATCTAATTGAGTTCTGTGTCAGACAGTGAAAAAATGGCTAGAATTAAAGCTATTGGAGAATATTTTGGATGTTTTCTCAGCACAATTTGAACATCCATCAGATGTCTTCACAAGGATTACAATGAAAGTTCATGTGATGTCTTTTTTGAGCATCCTCTGTATGCTCACTTTGGACATTCATTTGGTATGTTCACCACATTTTACCACACTTCTGCAACATGGTATAGTGTTACACAATGTGGTGGAAGGACCTCTTACCTTATTAGCTCTAAGGTAGTTACTCCTTGCTCAAAAGTGAGACAGCATTAGCTGATCAGCACACATTTGCAAAATAGCTAGCATTTATGTCTGAGGAAAAGTAATTTAGCATATTAGGTAATGTGACACAAGTATTCCCAGCAAATGTCATGACTGAGATGTGAAGACTCAGTCTAGTATCTGGACATTTGCTGTCTATCAGTATTAGACATTCAAAACAGATTCAAAACATTGGCATATGTTTTGGATGTCTAATGAGCTTCAATGAAGGTCCCCAAAAGACATGTAGATACAAAACCTATGCTGGACATCAGTGGACATTCAAAACAGGTCCAAATCAGGTAGCAATGTTTTGAGTTATTGTTGGATGTCTGATGACCTCCAAAAATATGTCCCAAATAGACATCAAGATACCACTCACATCTTGTCTAGAGGTACACATACATACCGTACTTATTTTGGAAATCTTGAACAGACATCCAAATCTGTAATGCATGTTCATAGATGTCAAAAATTGCCCTAGATAGACATTCTGTCTTGTCTTGTATGTCAACAGATGTCCAAAATAAGACCAGACCAGATGTCCTAACCCTAACCCTTAGCGCTACTGCGTACACCCACAGACAGACACAGACACAGACACAGGTAGCCTCTGCCAGATGTCAAAACACTCAGCTTGTATGAGATGTCCAAAGATCTCCAAAATGAGTCATATGCAGATATCAGGTTTTGAACCTCTATCACATGTATCACAAACATACAAAAAATACCAACCAACGTGATATAGTTACCACATGCATGCCTCTCTAATATCGGGTGTTTGCTGGGAACTATCACGTCTCACATTGTTTTTCTTTGCAATTTCATAACAAAAAAAAGATAAAATGGCATACCTTCAAATGCTGAACATTAGAGAGGGTAACAAGTGTGCAGACAAAATAGATTCATTGAAGTATCAGTGGGCAGATCCTGTTCTAAACCAAGAATATCTACAGACTGCTTGAAGCTTCTTCCTACCACACTATATTCCCTCTGTACTAAATTATGCATGAGTCAACTTTAATTTGTACAGTTTCTCAAGAGTGTGACAATAATTACCTGCAAAACCACTTTGTAGCTTGTGTACTACTGGTGTTGTCATGTTTTTCAACAGGTTGGCCCTTTTCCAACACTGTATGCAAGATGAGCGGCTTTGTGCAGGGTGTGTCTGTGTCTGCATCCGTCTTCACCCTGGTGGCCATCGCTGTCGAAAGGTTAGTGTATGTTGTGGTTTGTTATCTAATATCAGTCAGACTTGGTGCTAAGACTATGACACAGCCAAAACTGTTTTCCAGTTTTCAGGTTTGCTTTTTTTATCATGTGCATTTCACATGTGCAGTAGGCACATGTAACCTAACACTGACCCCATTGTGGAGCTAATGTGCATGGACAGTGGGCTGCAAACCCAGAAAGCAGATAACATTTTTGGCATATGAACAGGCAAGCAATTTTCATTCATGTGACCTAATGCAATCTTTGAGCCTGGGATCCAACTCCTATAATACATCCATGCTAGCAGCACAGTAGCTACTGTAGCTCTTATAATACAACCAGGTGTCCACCATGTTCTTCATTATATTTTAGCATGTGACCATGCTAACATTAGCTAATTAGCAATAATCACAAAGCCAAGGCTGATGGAAATGTCATTAGTTTTGCATCAGTACAATTTTGTATTCCTTCCAATAATTGATGAGACATTTCTCCAAAACCATTACCTCATGGTAGTGCTATGGTAGTCATAAGATCATCAAATTAAGTAGGATTCATCTTCAGGAGGCTATGAATGTGAATGTGCTGCTAATATGATGTTGACCTGATTTGGTCCCATACACTTTCATTTTTATCTGTTAATATTTTTATATTGACTTGTACAATTTTTGTGTTATTTATGTAAATAATGTGTCTTTTAAGCCGAGAGCTGCCGGAAGAAATTTTGTTGTGCTATGCATAATGACAATAAAGAATCTTGACTCTTGACTTGAGAAATGTTCAGATCAGTGCATCTACTAGTTCAGGGGTTTTCAACCAGTGGTCCGCGGCCACCTGGTGGTCAGTGAAGGCATTGCATATTGTCCCTGCCCAAGCATTCTGTAATGTCGCTCCAATGAATGAATCTTTTGTTTAATTAAAATTTTAAACACATTTCCATGTATTCTATGCAAATATATAACATTTAGAAAAAGCCGAGGTGACTTTCGGGATTAAAGTGCCCATCTGGTATAGCTAGCCCACAGCAATAGTCCTTGGGTTACTTCTTTGTCAGAATGGAGCTCCCTAGTCACACTTAGTTGAAAACCCCTGCACTAGTTGATATAGTTCAGTCCAATACTGAGCCCCACTGCTAACGTGGCTTAAATATACCAAAAATTTGTGATTACATCTTATATAAAATATTTGCTTATTTTACTTTAAACATTTGGATCTTTTCATTTGAAATTTTATATCACGACTATACTGTAGGTTCTGTTAATTTGAGATGGGAATCTATCATGAACTAAATGGCTTAATGAAAAAATAATTGAAAGATTAATATGTAATACATATCCTTAGCGAACTCTCTAGTTATATTCCATTTCTTTTCTTTATTTGTTTATTCTTGATGTGCATGTCTAGCCAACTTCTTAGTGGCAATGTTCTTCTTACCTACAACAGGTTTCGCTGTATAGTGTACCCTCTACAACCCAGGCCTACCATACTTGTTGCTAAGGCAGCCATCATGTTAATCTGGGTGCTAGCAGTGGTGATCATGTGCCCTGCTGCAGTGGCGCTAACTGTGGAAAAAGTTCCTTTTCACTACATGGTTTACAACAATGATTTCAACCACACATTCCCTTTGTACACCTGCTATGAAAACTTTGCTAACCCTCAGATGAGAAAGGTGTACACAGCAGTTCTGTTTGCTCACATCTACCTCGTGCCCCTCATCGTTATCACCGTGATGTATGGAAGCATCGGAGTGAAACTGTGTTCCTTCGTTGTCACAAACAGAGAGCCACAGCTGGCCAATGCTACAGTCCAGGTGGAAGACAGAAGGGGTGGTCAGGTGGTATCACAGAAAAAGATCAAGGTGATAAAAATGCTCATCCTGGTGGCTTTGCTTTTCATGCTGTCATGGTTGCCACTCTGGACACTCATGATGCTGACAGACTATGGTGGCTTGGACAGGGACCAGTTGGACCTTCTGACCAGCTACATCTTCCCGTTTGCCCACTGGCTGGCTTTCTCCAACTCTAGCATCAACCCCATCATCTATGGCTACTACAATGAGAACTTTAAGAGGGGCTTCCAGGCAGTGTGCAAGTCCAGGCCCTTCTGTTGCTTTGTGCAGTGCCAGCTGTGGACTAGGATGGCCAGGTGGTGCAGGAAAGAAAGGTTTGTGCAAGCACCAAATGGAGGTAGTGACTTCAGAGATGCCACTAGCAGTCATAACCACTTTGCACTGAGGCCGAGAAATCGAGTTCATAATGAGAGACAAGCTGACTGACATGGTGAAGGTGAATAGGAGTACAAGGGTGAGGGGTGTGGTGGTCTACTCTGAGAGAAGTCCTTCAGATCAAGGAGTAGAAATAGTAGCTGTACTTCACAAAAGCAGTAATGTTGAAGAGTCACAGAGGGTCACTGGCAGTTTTGTTGTATCAGGCATGGGATATTTGAGACATACTGCTGCCCAAAAATGATCCATTAAAGCCATAATACAGTATGTTGCATTGTAGTCCCAAGAAAGAAGCAACTATTATACTTATCAGATGTTACAAGTCTGTTGTGATGGCTAGACATTACAGCTGTAGTTTTAGGCAGTGCCTCACCTTTAACAAACACTTAAATTTGCTAACACCCATGCTTATCCAATCAGGTACAGTACAGATGACACAATGGAGCTGCCACCATGTGCACGCACCTTGTGGTTATTATAGTCATTATTATAGACACTTTAGTTTAATCATTAGATCAGTTTCACACATTAATCAAGGGGCTTCAGTTACCATTATCACACTTGGCAAACCTCAAACCTCCAACACGCATGATCAAGGTAATGTCTGTTGTTAATGTCTCCTCTTCCTGTCAGCAAAGCTGCTGGCCGAGTACGTACAGTACATCTACTGTATGTGCTCAGTGTGTGAAGCCACCGAGAAGAGCGACTAATCCAAAGGAACCCTTTTTAAAGGGAAAGCCTTTGTGAAATTTAAAATATATCATAAAGATTGTGAGCCTTCACATTTGATGTCCAGTATTCATCAGGGTATAAGGACAGACATTACTATAAAAGGACCTACTTCAAGTTCCTTGAGTGTTGTTCATGTCACTGTATTTTAAGATAATTAAAACCGCTAAAAACAATGTTTTTGGACAGAAGGAATGTTGTTGAGGTAGAACCTATCAGACACCACATTTAGCTGCTTGTCATCAGTGGTTTGTTTAAAGGTCACTGGTGTGTGCTTTGCTACTGCTGTCTGTAGGATCTTGAAGGTCTCTGGGAGATTTTTTTTATGCTTTCTTGCAGGATGCAACATATTGTATGTTGTTGTAAAGTATGTTCATGCTGTTACACTGAGTTACTTCAGTAAGGACTGGCAACAAATGTAGAACCCATACTAAGTAAAAATACAAAAATTCATTTTTTTAAGTTTATCTAGTTACTTTGTGATTAACTTTGCTTTAAACCCACTTGTATCATGACAATACAATCATATTACAATCAATTGAAACATTTTTTGTTCTTGCCAGCTGCTAACATTCAATGAAATGGACACTTGAACTCCCTGGAAAAGCTAAAACACTGTAAGACATCTAGCAGTCACAGTGCCTTCCTACAAAAAGAAAAACTGTACAGTGCCAGTTGCAAATGTATAAAAGTCATTAATGATTCACACAAAAGCTATTGGTCAACTACCTCAACTTCTGTGAGTGTACACAATAATTAACCTCCACCTGGATACGTTTGGATTAATCAAAGTACTATACAGTATTATCATGACACCTTTAAAACATTCAAGTGGAAGAATGTAAAAAAAAAAAAGAAATACTGAACTTGTTGCAGTCAGTAATTTTTGCTGTTTCTAAACAAAGAGAGCATAATTTATTTGCATGGGTTTAGAAGTTATGCTTAACCACACTAACTAATCATTAATCTTAGCATCTGATTTCAAAATGGAGCCTGTATCATAAAATGAGCTGAAGGCTGTAGATGCCTGAAAAGAATCAGCTTCTCTAATATGTTATCCTTGTTTTCTAGCTGTTCCAAAGAGCCACACTAGATACCAGAATGCAAAGCTGAGATTGAAAGAACAAGGAGACAGCACAAAGTCTCTCCTGGAACATCATGTGGCACTTTGTAGTCCACATAAAAAGTGACAGATGTAGTTGTGTAAAGTATGAAAAAAAGTGAACTCAGAGTAAAGTTCAAACCCTGCTCACACATCCAAAGGGAGTCTTGGATCATATGCTACACAGCCTCAATGAGCCTTACACTGCTGATCCTGAACAAACACTTTCACTGTTGCTCTGGCAACTGCTGGTTTTCCAGCCCATCTAAGATTGTCTTCACATGACAGAAGCTGGAGCTGTTATAATTACAAGCCAATCTCATATAACATCAGCAAATCAGCAGCAGGATATTTATTACCAGATAAGAGGAAACAGTTGATACTGGGAAAGAGGTTATGGAGATGGGGAAGTTGATATTCACAGAGTTAGAATGAACAGAACAAAAAGAACTAAAAATATTACAACTAATATTTAAATACGAAAAGTACGACAAGCCACATGTACAGTGAAACACATGGATAATTGTTTTTATCTTTTGATGAACAAACTAGCAATACATTAAACATGTTAAATGTAAGGCTGTTTAAGTGGGTTGCGCTGTGAATGTAATGAGGGAATTAAATTGTAAATACACTCAAGGTCAAGGTCAAGTGTTAATTGTAATATGCACAGTGAGGAAACATGTTTCCCTGTACAATGAAATTCTTACTTTTCCATCCACACAGTATAAGTGAAATATAAGGCAGATACAGTACGTAGGTAACACAAAATGTAAATCTCAAAAATCTGTAAAACAGCCGATGAAAGAAGCATAATGAAAGTACAACAGCCAATGAACAAAGCATAATGAAGAATACAACAAGAACACAATATAATGAAGAGAGAATGTATGCTACATGTGAGCTGTGTGATGATGATGATACTCAACCAATCAATAACAGAAGGTCTGTGTAAATAACATGCACAAACAAATCATTAATTATAAATGTGGTTAGAAACCTTGCTTCTATTCTAAACCCAAAGTGGCCAATTAAATCGTGGTAACTGACTGCCTGAAAACTACTAATCTCATTGTGTGACACCAGCCCAGCGCTGTACTTTCCCAGCCTCCCATGAACTACGCACAAAGCTCTATGCAGTTGGTTTTGTTTCCCCAAAACCCAACAGGATTTTGGTGCAACATTTGCAAGCAGAGGCAGCTTCAAACTCATAAGTAATGACACAGATTTGGAATCATATTTGCCAGACAGGTTAACAACTTATGATGTAGCTAATGTTAGCTATTTCTGATACTTTTTATACAAATAGTGAGTGGTAATCTTATGGTACCTTGTCATGGTAGCTAACAGCCCGTTTAAAGCACATTAAATAAACTATAAAGCATGTCAAGCAAACATAGTTTTTACTGTTAGCTCCAGAGCAAATGTACTTTGTTACGATTAGTTGAAGGTTTTCCCATAATTTTGAAATATTTACAAACATCATTCTTTTTCAGGTTTTGTAGCTATTGATTTTTACAAATGAAGTAAAAATTAATATTTCATGAGTAGCACTACTCAGCTTGTGAAAGCTTGCTTTCTAAAATTAAAAAAAAAATTACTCATCAAGGTAATCTTTGCATGGGCGTGAGACTTGATTAGAACATTTTAACAAAAGGTCTGCGTTACAAGCTGAAAGGCCTGGTGTTTGAAAGAAGTTTTTAGGAGGCAGGCTAGGTTTATTAAGTTGCATTATGGGAAGTGTAGGATCCTACAATTACGGAACTAAAGCCAAACTATGGTTCGGTCCAAAATCAGGAGATCTCAGTCTCAACTGTTTCAGTTTGGACCTTTTCTTTTATAAATTCTCCAAAATAAAATACAGAAAGAAAAAAAGAAAAAGGTAACATTTTAGCATAAAAGCAAACTCTTTAATCAATTTGTCCAACTAACTCCCTAACTGAACCACCTGCATAATAATAATAAAAAAAAAATAGCAAGTAGATTTTGGTAACAATTACCCCGGAAATATGAGGAACTCAGTAATTATGCTGACTCACTGGTTTGCTCTCTCAGTACATAGTGTACTTTACTAAAGTAGTACTGTACGGTACTAAATTTTCAAAAAGCATTGTGGAGGAGCACACTGATTGCACACAGCTGACATTAAAATGTTCTAAAGAGTCATTTCTTTTCAATTTAACAAATTTATACAATTATGTTTCAATTACACCGTAATTTTTAACTTATTTTTTAAGTAAGAAGACAAACTCTTATCCAAGAGTAAATGACTTCTTCCTCTAAAATCATTTTCTGTATCAAGATATTTTCTTATATAAATTAGAGGTGTTTTGTTTATAACTGATGTAAAAAAAACAATAACAAATCTCAAAATCTTCTGTCACAGATGAATAAGAACAGGAATTTGATGTGTCACATGATGAACACCATTTTATCAGTAAATAACATGCAGTGTTTGCATCCGTAGTGTCTGTGGTGCACTATAGAAAAAGAGACACTTTTATTTCATACACTGATCAGCCACAACATTAAATCCACCTGATGGTGTAATCCTGGGCACCTCTAGATTAGCTTTGCACCTGTCATATCTCCAAATAGTCTCTAATTATTTCAGAAAAATGTAACTTGAGAGCCTCCTCCTGAAAACAAGAGGATAGTTTGTGAATCCTAGCATGATCCTAAGCACAGGCACTGAGGGGGGCACCAAATGAAACCCAGTTTTGAAAAGCAGAAACATAAAGTATCTTGACAGGGGAACACTTTTCGACACAACACTGGCCAGGAAGCCAGGACAATGCATAAACAAAAAACACTGACATTACCTCAAATAGAGATGCATAGAAATACTAGAACATACGTTCGCCTCATTTTTTGAACTTTAGGTCACATTTAAGATGATAATTCACTGTTGTAACATTGTAGATAAGTCAGAAAACAAGGAAAAGCATGCCATGGGCTCTTTAATGTTGTGGTGGACAGGGGCAGCATGGGAAAAATTGACATGTTTGACATGTCAGAACACAATGCATCACAGCTGGCTGCATAGCCACAGATCATCCAGGTTCCCATCCTGAGCCTATCCACCACAACATTAAAACCACCAGGTGGATTTGATGTTGTGGATGATTGGTGTACAATCTAAATACAAATTTACGTATCAAAAATATATGTATATCAAAAAAATATATGTGCCCTGTGTTGATTTATCTACAACAGGCAAAACCAAACAACTGGATATGATAAAAATATTTACACGTATGTATGTTAAAAAAGTATTCTTTCAGATCCTTGTGTTTTGGTGTAATCAGTATTGCTAAGGAGTCACTGATGTATTTTAACTTGAATGTGTTTCTGGGTTGTGCCCTTGTGAACACGTGCAGCAATGTTGTTATTGTAATTTACCAGGGACTTGATGAGTTGTGTTGCTGTACACCGCTAGTTTATATTTTTGCCTTGTAAGGTAACGTAGCTTGTTGTTTACATAACCATTCTCATGTATTTACATTTGTGTTGTTAATTAGAAGCATGCTAGCTCAGGTGTCATGGACAAAGTATGCTTGTTACAGAGTGGGAGGAAATGTTTGTTGTTATTACCGTTGAATTCATTTGAATTTATTGCTGGTGTCAATATAAAGTGCTAAACATGAATGCTTTTCATGAAATGATTTAGTGCTGCCTGAGGACAACTCAGAAGAACCAAAACAGATGTTGTAGACTAGGCTTACTGTATGTTTGTGGCTTGCAGTGTAAGACCTTGACCTACTGTGTGTTGTTCTTCATGCTGTGTCACTGGCTGTTGTTCTGTTTCTATTTACTTCTGATATTTTAAGCCAATCTTTGAGTATTTTAGAACAGTAGATTCCAGGTTAAAATTTAATATGGTTGTTTACATTCCTGTGTAATCTATAGCATCCTAGTTGCCTGTAGGGTGAATCAGTTTTTAGGTGATTCATCCTAC